TTCCATTTTTGTTTCGTTATTACTTTTCCCTTCTAGCTTAGGTAGTGTGGTGAACATTCATTAAACAAGTTGTTCTCGGATTATTCGTAAAATTCTCAAATCTTCACTTTACAACTTGTTTAATCCATTTTCACCCGGTATTTTATTGTTGTTTGGACTCAAATTTTTGTTTGGTAGCTTGAGGTATTTGAGGTGATTTTCCAAGTTTGAGTGTTTCAACTTGCGAATGCGTGGTAATGATAGTGTTTAAAGTTTTGTACACGTTCAAGGTATGTGTTTATCGCTTTCTAGGCTTTAGCATATTCATGATACTTAGACTTTTTACAATTTCCATGCCATTCATTCTTTTGTATACTTGTTCATTTTGTGAATCACTTTAGTTCCCACCTTTTTGTGAGGAAGCCTTTCGTTGTTCATATATGCTCGGAGTACCAATATTTTTGTTTTAACTGGATTTTATTATGCTTAATCTTTTGTTTGTGTTGATTATATGAAAGCATGAAAAGGATTAAGGCACTTGTTTCATTTTGAGCACAACTACCTAGCCAAATCGTCAATTCACCTTGTGAGTGTGTGATCATTTGTAACCCCTTTGAGCCTTTGGTCATTATCCATGTTGTTTGAGTTTTATTCTTGTCTATGAGTATCAAATTCATTTTTTGTGTGGATCTTGATTGTTGTTTTTTCTTGATCCCTCAACTTTGTGTTGTTGTATGAATTTTTACCTTGCCTTAGAAAGTAGGGAGTATTCACATGATGATGTGGTTGAATTCAAGTTGGGGGGATGATGATCGTTCACTTGTGTTGTTGATTGCTATGATGTTGAAAAATAGAAAAGAAAATAAAAATGAGAAAAATATGAAAAAGAAAAGAAAAGAAAAGAAAAGAAAAATTGAAAAAGCTTAGAAAAAGATAAACAAAAAGAGTAGAATAATGTTGTGCTAATAAGTTCTATGTGTTTGGTATAACACTTGGGATTTTGGAAGAAGTTTGATTGGAATTTTGGTGTTTGAAACTTTGTGAGTTTATCACTCCCTTAGGTTTAAGCAAGTTTTTGTTTCGATTAGCTTTAGGAATTATCCCTTGTTTGTTCACCCGACCACATTACAACCCTGAAAGTCCTTTTGATTCTTGCTTTTGTGTTTTCAACATGATTTTTGGATGATTGCATAATTTAGTCTTTTGTTTGCAAGATTATTGTGTGAGTGAAAAAAAGCCCTCATTTTGTGTTTTTCATCTACCGATGATTGTTTTTGCTAGGTGTGATTCACGTTTGAGCTTGTGTTGTTTTAGAATGTTTGGCATGACTTTTGTATTTAGCATTTGTTTCGTGATTATGTTATTGTTGAAGTTTAGTGGTAAGTATTCACTTTGCGTATATCAATTTTTGATTGAACCATTACATTTGTTTTCCGTTTGTCAAAACTTGTTGTTACGTGATTTCTTGGATTTCGCTTTTGTTCCTTTAGTTGTCGACTTTGTTTGAGGACAAACAATTAGGTAAGTTGGGGAGAGTTGTTAAGTGCAAATTTTACCTATTTTTGTATATAAGTTTTGTTGCACTTAACGTTACTTTATGTTAAAATCGTTCGAATAAACCCCGCTTTGTTTATAAATGCATTTACTTTACGTTATAGTGTATATATTATGTTTTCTTGTAAATATCATTGAGTTTAATTGATTTTTTCTCATTTTTTAGGTAAATAAGCAATGATATTTTGTCATTATCTTATAGAGCATTGAATAAGCTTTCCAACGCTTCCGACCACGCGTAAAACGGAGTTACGGTTCAAGAGTTATGATCGAAACAAGAAAAAGTTTGCTGTCATGTTCGCTGGCTGTTCGCTAAGCGAACATCAGTTCGCTGGCCACTCGCTAAGCGAGTACTGGGACCCATTTTTGTCTATTTAAGTGATTTTTCAGCATTTTTTAGGGTATGTTGTTTGGGAACTTTTTACCCCAACTTCATCCAACACATTCTTGAGTAGATTTAGCTTAGAAACAACATTGGAGGGTGCATCTTGACGATCCGGAGTCGAATCCACTTCAATCGGAGTTGACAAACCGTGAGATTTGTGTTCTTCTTCCTTCCTCTCTATGTATTTTTCATTTGTTGGGGTTTTGTATGTAAGTTTATATTGATTGTATGTATATTTATGGATCTTTGTATAAAATCTCTTTTACAACTCTTTATCGATGGTTATCTTGATTTTTTACTTAATGGGTTTGGATTGTGATAGACATATATTGTTCGAACTCGATCTTAGATGAACATCTATTAGATTCTAAATGCTAGAGATAGATTTAGGACTAATATTCACGTGGGTATCGATTCTTAATGCTCCGTGTTGTCAATTTGTGTGAGAGATCAACAATGAGACGATACGGTTGATCTCTCGACTTTGCGTTAGAGATAAGCTCTGTTGTGAGCGATACGTGATGATATTGACGAGCGAATTAGGTTGCGTGCATTTGATCCATATATTTTTTAGTACATGATGGGTAGAACGAAATACAACTCCTGACGAGTTTTCTCATTTCTTAAGAATGTACTTATTTTCTTGTTTTATGTTTTTCCTTTTGAATTTTTATCCCAAACCATTTAAACCCAAGCTTAGAGACGTAGAGATGGTCGAACGACATTCTTTCCCTCACACTGATCCCTGTGGAGACGATAAATCCCGGAGGAAATTCTTCCGAAAATAATATTTTTGCTTGCTGCTTTACCGCTTCAACACTAATGCATGGTATTCAAATAACATATAAGATTGGAAGTACATATGGCAACTCCAGGTTCTTGGGATGATTCATTTGTTTATCTGGTTTGTTATGCATAAAGGCTTGATGATAAACCAACTATTAGCTATAAGACACTTAGGTGATCCCTTCTGTACGAAATGCAATGGAATTGAAGAAATAACCTTGCATATTCTGTATGCCTGTAACTGTAGCAGACATGTCTTTTTAAGGATAATTAATAAAAAAGAATTGGCCGCATTTTTTAGTCTGAAGCTGCAGGATTGGTTGAATTTCAAATTTTGTATGGATATTAGCTACAACAAAAGTGGTAATTAGAAGGCGATTTATGCAACAACTTGCAACTATCTGTGGCATTGGAGAAACTAAAGAATGTTCGTAGAAGATTATGTTATGCCACAAAACTCCACAAAAGACATAGAGGACAAGGTTCAGAGTTATTACAAGAGCTTAGAGATGAATAAAAAGATTCAAGTAAGGAAGCAAGAAGAGAAGCAAGTTCATTGAAAGCCTTCAAGTGGCAATTGGATTACTCTAAACACTAATGAATCAATTAACAAGGCTGGGTTGGCAAGCTGTAGAGGTTTAATGAGGATCAATGATACACTTGGATTCAGGGATTTGCAAAGACGCTTGGTAATTGTTCTTCTATTGTGGCATGGTTACGGGGAGTAATCGAAGGCATTATACTAGTTCAAAGCGAGGGAATTACAAAGGTGTAAATACAAATGAATTTCAAGGAGATATATATTGCTCTTAAGCAAGAGAAGTAAAGCTTGGATGTAGGTACTACTTTAGTGAAACATATCGTAAGGGAACTACTCAAAGTGAGAGAATTATGTCTCCTTTATATGTAACGAAAGACAAATTGCAGTACACACTCTCTAGCTAAAATGAGTAGCAGCAATATAATTGGCTTAGTTTTTATTTTTATTTTTATAATTGCCCTCATAATGATGTGGTGCATTATGCAGTGGATGATTTTTTTTAGAAAGAGATTAATTAGGCTTAATATCCTTTTTACTCCCGTATCTTAACTTTGAGGTTTATTTTGGTCCTTTAATTTTTAAAATTTTCATATTGGTCCCTTAATTTTTCAAAACATTTCACATTAGTCATTTTTATCCTATTAGTGACGGAAAAAATTAAAAAATCAGTCGCTAAATTCGTCACTAAAGAGACAAAAAAGACTAATATGAAACGTTTTGAAAAGTTAAGGGACCAATATCGATATTTTTAAAGTTAAAGGACCAAAATGAACCCCGAGATTAATATACAGGACCAAAAAGAGTATTAAGCCGTTTAATTACTATGTACTGACAGTGTAAAAAGTTTTACACTATCAATTTATCACCATCATCCGTTTGCATTACTTTACAAATTATTAAAATAAAAGTCAAACTTTTTTTTATATCTAACGTCTATGATTAACTGTTCTTTTACATTGTTAGTTCGTTTCAATTAAATCCTTTTTATAATTGCCCTTGTAATATTGTGGTGCATTATGATGTGGATAAAATTGGTAGTTTCACAATGAGGACAATGTAATCTCTTTACTTTTTGAGTCTTGACACTTAATAAACTAAAAAAATTAACTATATATAATAAAATTTGAGAGTTATATAAGATTTGCTAATGTAGATCCATTTGTTTTTGTAAAAGTTTATTTTAGCAAGATTAACTAAAAAAAATACTTACATACGCCTCAAGTGCATATTGCTAAAACACATCTTCATAAAATCAATTGAGTGGATTATCACAAATATATATATATATATATATATATATATATATATATATATATATATATATATATATATATATATATATATATATATATATATATATATATATATATATATATATATATATATATATCAGCGGATACAAATGTGAAGTTTACATGTAAACTCGGTGGCTCTGTGAACCGGTTCATTCATACTCATAGAAGTCTAATCAGCGTGGTCTGTCATTAATATCAGCCTAGAAAAGAAAAAAAAAACCTTACGAATCATATTAAATTCAAATTCCATTTTCACATCCAAACAAACCAAATTACACACCTCAATAAATACATCAACATTACGAAAATTATAACGGTGACAGAAGAATAGAGGTTAGTTAAACAACTCACCCACCCATTTCACAACCATTTTCTACGTGTCATGCATCTCTATCTTCTTCTCCTCCTCCTTATTAATTAATTTTACAGAACAAACAACACAAAACTCACAAAGGCAACAATGGCGGTAACGAAGCGACCGATCTACGCCCTCACTAAATGGCTTCGCCGGCAACCGCCCAAAATAAAGCTATTTCTCGCGGTTCTTTCCGGACTTATAGTTCTGCTTTTTCTTCGTATGGTTGTTGACGACCACGATAACCTCTTCATAGCGGCTGAGCTTGTGCATGCATTGGGAATTTGCCTCCTCATTTACAAACTCGCTCAGGAAAAAACCTGTGCTGGTACATTTCATAGTTTCCAATTTGAATTTAATATTCCTTAAAGATTGACATTCTTATGGGTGTTATCAATTAGGAATTTACAGAATTTTTTATTTTTACGATGAAAAGTCTTGTGTTGTAGTATCAGACTAACATTTTTATTTATTCATTCTTGTTATGTTTATGTGGTATTAAATTAGGGTAATCTAATGTTTTTAAACTGAGCATAAAAATGCAGTAGTATTCATTGAGATTTTTTGCAACTTAAGATGAGTTTTTGGTATTCAAAAACTATGCAATACCTAATTTGTTTGGTTTTTATGGTATAGTTTCTATCATTGCAGATTTTTTATTTTCTTATTTAGTAGGAGGTTTGGTTTTTATGGTATAGTTTCTATAAGGGAAGTTAATAAGAAAGACCTCGAGATTCCCGATTTGTATAGAAATATGGTTTTGGATGAGATTCCAGATTTGGATAGAAATATGATTTTGGATAGAATATTATGACAAAAGTTGATCATGTAGCCGATTCAATTAATGGGATAAGTCTTGGTTGTTGTTGTTTTCCAGCACAGCAAGAAAAGAATAATATAACTGGACAGAATAACATGATAATAAAGAAATACCAATACAAAGCTTAGTGTGAAAGCTAACTATGAACATATTCTGCTAAGTGTCTCCTTTGGTATCATGGGCCAAAAAGTTCAAAGAAAAGGTGGTTCTTGTGGAGATGGAATAACTGCACCTCATGCACCCGCCTTAAGTTTCAACACTTTATGCTAAAGCAAACATAAATCCTAGTGTCACATAAATTCTGTTTGAATTTCATTAAATTTGCGGTGTAGGATCGCTCCTTCTTTCTCATGTATTATATATCTTAGAACGAACAAGCTTGAAGCAGAGTGTGTGTGCGCATTAGAGGGAAAACATGGCGTGGCCTTTGAAGTCACCTCCTTTGCAACTAGTATGCATAGTTGGGATTGTGATGTTTTTGCTGTTTGTTCCTTCTTATATAAACTTCAAGTCTACAGTGCAAAAAACAAAAATAAGTTTCCACTTGTTCCTTTTGATTTTGCCACTCTTGTTGATTTTTATTGCATACTTCATCTCTAGATTAGGGCCACGGATTTTGCTTCCAGTGGTGTTCATTGGCCAACGTTCACGTGCGCAAACAGAAAAAGGAGGGTCGTCGCCTTGGGGATTAGCAGCGTTGGTGGTGTTACTTTTGGTTTTGGCTTCCAAACTCTCCGACTTCAGGTCTATGTGGTCTCCACTCATTTGGAGACCCCATTAGTTGTTGTGTCATTTGTAAGTCATAAGATATGTGTAATCCAATTTGTCTCCTATCCTAGGCATCCAGGCCCAGCCAATTTTGTGTTGTAATTTCATACTATATGATCAATTACGAATGGTTTTTCTTGTATATGTATGTTATTGGGGAAATAAAATGAAATCAACAAACGGGTTGATCCACGCAGCATTTTTATCTTAGAATTTTTGGGTTTTATAGCTTCGTTAACTCTTTGATTGTTCGTTCACTTCCATGCCAACCTTTTTGTGGTTGCCCAGTGTATGCGTGCATTAAGAATTTCCTTCTTCATTTTACAAGCTCACCCAGGAAAAGATGTGTAGTACTATTCTGATAGGACACCTAAACACTTAGGCATATTCTAGAAGGTTGTAGAAGAAGTAAAATAAGACTTAGTTAGGATATTTTTTTATTTTAGGAGAGAGGGGAAAGGGAAGTTGAGATTCACTGAGAAATATTGTTAGAAAGTTAGTTAGGAGAGCTACTCTCTGGTTTAGGAGCTTAGCTCTTGTTTAGGAAGTCATATAACTCTGGTTTATGCATTGTATTTTTTGTTTTCCGCCATTGTAAGAGCTTGAGACTCACCATTTCCAGTCATTAAAATTCATTTCATCACCTTAAAATTTTGGGTTCTATCTGATTCCCTTGCCATCTTTTTCAATCTTAACTTCCAAATTGAAATCCCTTCCTCCAACGGCATATTTTTTTTTGTTTAAAAATCTAACATCAGAATTTCAGGTTAGGGTTCTGTTAAGTTAAGCTCATGGATCATCATCACTGGTCTTAATAACTATACTTGTACCACTTCATAGCTTTTATCAGATTAACATTCCTTTAATGTATGTCTAAAACCATGCCACAACCTAATTTGTTCTTGGAATCAGCATCGCCTGCTTTTTTATGGTATACTTTCTACAATTGCAGATTTTCTGCTAGTGACATATGGAAGTACTTTTTATTTTCAGCACTGGAATGCAAACTTTACGTTGCTAATTGCTTTGCATTTTCCTTTTTAGATGAAAGTAGAGAACAAACAGTATGATTTTGATATGATTGCTGTTGTATTCTACAATATATCATTGTGATTTTAGCAATAATTTGGCTTCTTGTTTTCCAGTACAGTAGGAAAACTAACGAGAAGGAAATAACCTTCTATCTGTTTATCTAAAATAATAACCAGCCCTTTTCTTTCACTCTTAAAATAAAAGCAGTCTTTTCACTGTCTGTTAAACCTTTGCAGGGCTCTCACTTAAATCACAGGAACTCACAGCTATCTTTCTAGCTGTTAGACTATACTGCAGTTTTGTCATGGAATACGATATACACACCTTACTCGATAGTGCAACATTGGGGACGACCCTCTGGGTTATTTATATGATACGTTTCAAACTGAAATCCAGTTATATGGATGATAAAGATAACCTTGCAATATACTATGTGGTAAGTCTTCTGTCATCTATTTAAGGTATGCAATCGCTTGTGTGTATTCCCTATAACATGTTCTTTATTTATTTTCATTTGGCTACATAGCTTACCCGTCCTTCCTTTAAGCATGTCATAGTTCTCACTGCCAAATTTATCCAACAATCTAATGCCGGATAAACTCTCATTGAGAAACTTATATTTGTTAAAAATTGGTTTGCTTGTGTGTCAAATGAGGTTTCAAAGTGTATTTTGTACATTGTGGCACTTATTGATGATTTCTCTTGTGCAAAACAAGAGAGCCTGATGTCTGATAATGAGAAATGTGATTTTGGAGGTGTTTTGGTTTATTTTGAAAAATATCTTTTGAAGAATAAAAATTTAAATCTTAATACAGGTTCAATGTTACAGAAATTTCATCTATCATATTGATGAATTGTGATTATGGAGTGTGTTAATTTTCTTATACCAAAATACAGGTGATACCGTGTGCTGTGCTGTCTTTGCTCATTCATCCAAAAACCCAGCATCATACTATCAACCAGATTTTCTGGGCTTTTTGTGTTTATCTTGAAGCTGTATCAGTTCTACCTCAATTGCGAGTCATGCAGAACACTAAGGTATCTTAAAAATATATTTCAGTCTTTTGCTTTTACTTTACTATCTTTTAATCGTTTGAAACTGTGTGTGGTTAATTCTGAAATTCAACTTTCAGATTGTTGAACCATTCACAGCACACTATGTTTTTGCCCTTGGAATTGCAAGGTTCTTGAGTTGTGCACATTGGGTCCTCCAGGTTTGTTGGGATTTTAACTTCTAAGATGTTTTTATCATCCAATTCTGAAAATATTTTAAACTATTTTATCATAATATCCTCTGAACGAGTATCATCAATAATTTCATATTCATACCTTGGATTATGCATGCTTTATTCACACTCCTACTTCACAAACTAGTTTACCACAATATGATACGGTGTTTTTCATGGCCTTTAAAGGAGCCGAAGCACACGACTTTTAGAATATAACCTTTGGCCTGCTTTTATATTTTTTAATCTTATCCTGCTCAGGTATTAGATTCTCGCGGTCAACTACTAACTGCTTTGGGTTATGGATTGTGGCCTTGTATGGTACTTGTATCAGAAATTGTCCAAACCTTCATCCTAGCAGATTTTTGCTACTACTACGTCAAGAGGTAGATGACAAATTCTCTTAACATGCAACATAACATGCCTCTTTATAAGCTCTTGTGACTCTTTTTTCTTTGTTTTCAGCCTTGTTGGGGGACAACTCGTTGTTCGGCTTCCTTCCGGAGTTGTGTAATTTTATCGATCTTGGTCATCGTTAGCAGAGCTCAGAATGTAATATATTTGTAACTCGGACATTTAATGTGAGTTAATTTATTCTCATATTTCTTTTCTCTCTGATCACTTTTTCACCTTAAAAAAAAAAAGCATATAAGACAACTCGAGACGATTTCTCTTAGTCCACAATCTTGAAAGAAAAGAGAATTGTTCTAACTTCTAAGTTCTTTCAATGGGTATCAATAAAACTTGCTTTCATATTGGAAAGACCATTTGGGCAAGGGGGAATTAGACGTAGTCCATCTGTATCTCTTGTGATCCGTTGTTTGTCTATTGTTGTGAATAGAACTGTTGCAAGAAACTAAAGAATTTGTGATTAAGTAATTATGTCTTTTGCATCTAGTCATTCAAATGGTTAATGGTTTACTCTTACTTTTCTATTTTTATACCTTTAATGGTTTACTCTTACTCTTTCTTGAAGGTATTTTTCTCTTTAGTTATATACACTAGTTAACAAAAAATGAACAGAACCATTTAAACAAATCAAATTAAGTTTAAAACTGATTCAGAATCCTCGTTTTATTAGCTGGTTTAATTATATGAATTAATTTCTTATAAAAAGTAGAAAAATGAGTGAAAACAAAAAAAATTGAAAATATCTTTTTTGAAAGTAAAAAAAGAATTTTTTTGAAAATGATAAATTCTGAAAATAATTTTTGTTTATTCCAAAAAATAAAAATATATTTTTTAATTCTGAAATAAAAAAATAGTTTTTTTTTTCTGAAAATAAAAACATTTTTTATTCCAAAAGTAAAAAATTATAATTTTTTTTTGGAAAAAATTAAATGAAAATTTACCATGAAAAAATTCCACAAATATAATATCTATTTTTCAAAAATTAAAAAACTTCTGAATTTTTTTTATTCTAAAAAATAAAAAAAGGACATTTTTCCAAATTTTTTATTGAAAACCGGTTATAAGTTAGTTTATAAATAAAAATTGATTTCAAATTAGTTTAAAATTATTTTAATAATTAATTGTAATTTTATTGAAATGATTATTGTAAATTGAATTTTTTCTATTTTTTAACTAAATATTTTATAAAATAAATTACCTTTATCTTGTTAACAGAGCATCGATCTCCATCATGTTTAATTTTCATGTCTGATTTTGAGACTAGTACTAGTTATTGGCATTTCGATTTTCTCCTTCTGTTTTTTATTATAAATAAATTTTGACTTTTCACATATATTAAAAAATATAACAATTATAATATAAAAAATGAAATTATAAAAGATTTTATAAAATTATTCTTTATTAATAATATTAAAAAGATAAATTTACATTATTGAAAAGAAAAAAAAAATTAAAAATACAATAAAAAAAATAATATTAATAATTTATTAATATTATAAAATAACTTATATTGTGATACAATTTTTTTCTCAAAACAATTTATAATAAAAGATAGAGATAATACTGTTTAACTTTAATGTGAAAGCATTGAATATTAAACCTTCTTTCATACGTATGATGGTAAAATAAGCTTAGGTGCAGATTTTTTAAAGGTTCACTTCAGCAGGACAAATTTTAAATTATATATATATATATATATATATATATATATATATATATATATATATATATATATATATATATATATATATATATATATATATATATATATATATATATATATATATATATATATATATATATATATATATATATATATATATATATATATATTGTTTTGGATTGGGCTTGTGGTTAAATTCAATGTCGAGCACAACCCAATCCACTTCTACGTCGAAGATGACTCATAATGCTGGTCCAAACACATTCCCCACGTGATCCTCACCCGATGACATGTCACAAACCGACTCGTATGTCCTGTGGAACGTTTCTGCCTTTTGCAACGGATAAGTTCGTCCACTAACCGGAGAATGCGGAGCAGTTGACCCAGGACGATGAACACGAGCTGTTCATCCCTACGTACGTCCACGTAGGAATCCTGACAGTCATCCGTTATGGGCCCGGACACCCATCCCATAACGGAGACCATTGACCCAACGCTGGGGGCTCTCTATAAAAACCCTCCTTTATAGGAGGGTCAGGTATTATATTCTCTTGCTCTTTCTTACTACCTCTTCACCCAAACTAACTTAAACGTCAGAGTGTCTGCGGGTACACCCCATTTTCTCTTGTTGACCGTTGCTGCGGCAGACGTGTTGTTGGCCACACATTTTGACCGATAGGTGAGATCAGTGGCGCCGTCTGTGGAAACCTTGTTGCCTCGTCTTTTTTTTTCCTTGAAACCAATAGACCAAAACAGAAAACTTCAAAAACCAATCATGGCCGATCAACACGACAACAATAGTCATGAAACCGTCCTCTCTCTCGTTCATGACGCTGACAACAAAAAGCGATATTAAAATGATAGAGGAAGACACTTCAACGAGGAGAGACGGGCGCACCACCTCCCCCTCCTCCGGCGATGCGACCGACAATGATGTTCAGTACGTCGAGACCCGCAGAGTCCAAAAAGCTTCGGAGAATACGCCAGAGAAATTTAAACAAATCTCGGTGCTGGTGTTGGCTGAAAATTAGCCAACTTGGAGCATCGACCTCGACAGAAGCTAAGGGAAGGAAGAGTGAAAACCGACAAGCTCCTTGCATAAGAGCCAAGGGTCGACAGCAACAAAACTTGGCATTTGGGTCCTTAGCCACTTATGCAAGAGCGGGGCGCAATAGAGGAACATTCCACCTCCTTTTGTATGTTTTGTATGAAGTGTATGGTAGAAGTCACCTAGGAGGAAAGGCACAGGGTTCTTGGTCAAGAAGGTTTCCACGGCTATTTGGTTCACAAAATTTCCCCATTCGGAAACATCACAATTCTATAGACTAAGAGTGCCAAAACTGAACCACATATTTCCCATTTCTCTTCTTTGGCGTACTTCCATGCTTGTTCTTCTAAGAATTTCCTCGAGAATCCCCTAGCTCCTTTGGGTGCCCAATTGGCTATCATATCTCTTGTGGGAATCCCTAAGGCAGAAGCCACTTTCTTCAAAGTGAATTCTTCTTCGAGCTTCGGAAAAGGATTGCGATCTTTGATGGAGAGGTTCAAAATCTTCTCAAATTCTTCCAAAGTGGGAGATATCTGAAAATCAGCAAAGGTGAAACAACGGAGAGAAGTGTCATAGTACTGAGCCAAGGTTGTGAGGACTTCAAATTCTATCTTCTCTGTCAACAAATCTAAGATTTTCCCATAAGAAGTGTGAAATTTGTTGTGCTTGATGAGGGTGATCTTGGCATTTAGAGCTTTCAGATTGTCAATTGAAGGATCTTTGTATTTGAAAGTGAAAGTACTTTTTCTGTTGGTCTTCTTGTTTAGTCTCATCGTCCCTAGATTCACATTCATCATGATTGTTTCTGAAAAATGCTTATATCTGCAACAAGAACAAGACACTAAGAGTTTTGTTTATGAAGTATGTATGTATGAGCGGATGCATAAATGGAATCCAAGCACATGGGTTCATAAGTCCGAGGTATGGATATGGCCGATACTGACTGCTTTATGAATAGGTTCTCACAAGGTGTGACCTATGGTTTAATAGGGATCCCAAAGTCATGGATTCATATGACTGTTCATCATACACGACTTGAATATGTCGGAGGATGACTCCATCACATGAACCTCTTTTGGGTGAGGTCCTCATATCGAACCACACGAGAAGAACTTCTCGGGGACCCATACTACGAGACACGTCGACACTGGATTCTAGACAAGGGTTTTAGAGTCATGGACTTCCTTGACTGTTTGTTACGTATGTCAGTCATTGCCAGGCAATAACTCCATCAAGAAAGTCTCTTCTGAATGAGGTCTTCGTATCGATCCATACGAGAAGAGCTTCTCGAGGACCCATACTACATGACCATCAATCTTAGTTGGCCAATGGTTTAGGGTTCTAAAGGGTCCTTAGAGTAATGGATTCCCAAGAAAACATTGATCAGACACGCCAAGAGCTTGACGGTTTTCATCATTCTCAAAGGAATCTAGTCTAAGCGAGGTTCTCGTATCGACTAACACGAGATGAGCATCTCGGAAGCCCATACTACTCAACCTTTCCTATCTCAATTTTAACACTCTAGACTCGGGTATAAAGCCTTTCCCTCAAAGTTTATCACCAAAGTATCCAATCCATACCACAACCAATGAAACTAAATAAGGTGAGATACAATTGAATAAATAAAGGAAAACGATAAGCAAGCAAATAAAAAGAAAGAACCAAAACACGCAAAAACAACCTAGGTTAGGCTTGACTCGCTTAGGAAGACTCCCCAATAGAGTCGCTAGCTGTCGCTACGCGAAAAATGACATAGAGTCGCCACCGGATTTTATTTATCCCAAGAAGGGAAAGGAAAATAACGATAAAACCTTTAGGGAAAGGGCATGGTCATCGCAACCAAGTCTTAGGGTTCGGGAGTCGGTTATGCGAGGGGAAGGTATTAGTACCCCCTCACATCTATCGCACTCGATGGGAACTTTCTAGGTTGTTTAGCTTGAATGGGTATTTTAAATCTAAAAGTTTGCTTGCTTAAAAGAAAAGAGGGGTTGTTTTTTTTATTAGAGTGATCGCCAAGGATTGTGGCTCTTGTGCCTACGTATCCTCACTTAAAAGAAGTGAAGAATCAGAGCTCCGTAGTTCGGAGGCTTGTGAAATGGTTGTTTGTTGGTTTATTTTATACCTTGAAAAAGGGTTTTCGGATTGATGCCCTAAGGCAAAAAGAAGTTTGATGAGTTGATGTTATTTTTAGGTTTTTTTTTATAAATGAAATGGTTCTTGATTAGGATTACACAAAAGACTTTTGATAGAGATGAATATTTCGAATAACCAAGTCGAGCGCCTTGTATTCAAAACATTCGGAACGAGTGTAGGAGGGTTCCATTCTCATTCCTTCTCCACCACGTTGAAGTCCATGGCGTATAACCCTAATCGTATATTTATTGTATTTTGG